CAAGTTGTTTGAACTGAAATGTGTGTTGGCAGTATGTGTACACAATAGGGATGCAACGATTATAGATTTTGTTGGTACGATTATTGTCTGAGGAATAATCACGGTTTTACGATTATGACGATTATTATGCATTTATTCATTTCCCAATATTACTAATGTATAAAATCACATGAACACTCTTCAGATATTAATGTGTTATTTATTGCTGGCTTTTGAAACTAAAATAACACAGTAACCAACAATACAGCAAAAAATAATAATAAAAAAGACAAACAAAAGTCTATCTCTCCCATTGGAATTTTAAAAAGGTGACCTCTGCTCTGTAAACATCCATGACAGTATTTCTCTTTTGAAAATAACAAATGGAAATAGATCACAAAAGTATTTAATGTTTTCAGTTTGTACATTCTTTACATTTCTTTTGGACCTGGGGTAGAGAATTTGGAAACATTGTGAAAAAAAATATTGTTGGTTTTTACTAATGAATAATACTACAACAGGGATAGTAAATAACAAAGTTAATGAAGTAGCCTATTATTAACATACGACTAATATTAACTCAGTCATTCTTGAGAAGTGGGACAAAACGGTGCAAAATTGAAAAAATAAAACCTTGTACTCAGACAAATTAAACTACATTTATGTATCTTATATGTACTAAGCTACTGAGCTATGCTTTGATACAACCTCTCAACTTTTCTCTTTTTTAACAAAATGTGCTTTTATTTTAGCTTGGACTGTGTAATATAATTTCAGCTTTATCTTTAACAGCATTCAAGATGTTTTTAACATTTCAAAACACATTCTCGTGTTAGCAGACAGATTACACTTTCACATGTGACCAATAATTCCACAACAAATATAAAATATCATAATGAAATATTATCAAAATATTCAACTGACGGAGGTGACCGAACTGACGGAGTTGACACATCTGATGGAGGTGACGAAAACCTGAATTTGTAGTCATTTAAAGTATCAAATACATTGAATCAGTCAATTACTATTAAAACAAACAGTG